GGAATCGATTGCTGCAAAGGTACTAGCACCTAAAGAATTTTCCTTTTATGATTTGTTAACAGTCTATTGACAAAAAGAAATGCATTGCTGGTGCTCCCCCCGTAGACAAAGTACAGATGTTTATGTTCTGTAGTGGCCTGAACTGTTGTATTGCAGCAGTAATAAAGTGATGGAAGACTAATTTGTGCAATGGTTGGGGAAAATGTGAGAGTTTATTAGGATTTGGAAATGTTCAAATAGGACTTCAGGCGAATAAATCTCGATTGCCATCGAGTTGCTGGAAAGGGGAAATTCAGATAACAGGATTTTTGGGAAGTTTCTGGAAAATAAAAGTTAACTGTTAGTTGCTACTCTTGGGTTATAGAGTTAAGTTTTAATTACTGGATGAACATAAATACTAGGACATAAATTTGCATTTTGATAAAGTATTGCACAGCAGAGTCCATTGAACTTCTTGAAATAATAGTTTATTTAACAATGAAAAGAAAACAATCAAAGATGCTTCCTTGTTTTTTGTCACAAGGAGGTAGCTTGCATGGAGAATATGTTGACGCAACACCGTTTGCTAATTCAAAGAAGGCTAATGAAACTCAACCAAAATCCGAAACCCTTGTTGATGAACTTGGTGAAATGTTAAAGGTTAAGGGGTTTAACTACTATGGTTTAGAGCAAGGTCTAAAATATCGAAAGTTTCAGAAATATCGATGGTCCAAAAACACGGATATATCGATGGAAATATCGAGGAAATATTAACATCAATAAAAATTGAATAAAAATCACGGAAATTGTGAGAAAAACTTTTTCACAAAAAGAAATGCATTGCTGGTGCTCCCCCCGTAGACAAAGTACAGATGTTTATGTTCTGTAGTGCCCTGAACTGTTGTATTGCAGCAGTAATAAAGTGATGGAAGACTAATTTGTGCAATGGTTGGGGAAAATGTGAGAGTTTATTAGGATTTGGAAATGTTCAAATAGGACTTCAGGCGAATAAATCTCGATTGCCATCGAGTTGCTGGAAAGGGGAAATTCAGATAACAGGATTTTTGGGAAGTTTCTGGAAAATAAAAGTTAACTGTTAGTTGCTACTCTTGGGTTATAGAGTTAAGTTTTAATTACTGGATGAACATAAATACTAGGACATAAATTTGCATTTTGATAAAGTATTGCACAGCAGAGTCCATTGAACTTCTTGAAATAATAGTTTGTGCATCATATTTAACAATGAAAAGAAAACAATCAAAGATTCGATGGTTCAAAAACAAGTATATATCGATAAAAATGTCGATAAAAATTGAATAAAAATCACAGAAATTGTGAGAAAAACTTGGAATTTTTTTTTGTAACTTTAGAGAATGTTTATTTAGTCAATTGTGTATTATTTTATCACAAAAAATTGGAATAAAATGTATGGCAAGGTGGGTTTGAGTGATTTAAGTTGATTATGTAGCGACCTGACAAATACTGTGTCTTTAGAAAATATGTAGTAATTAGTGAAAGAAAATTAAACACACCATAATTTTTTAGTTATAATAATTTACTACAATATATTACATATGATAAGATATATGAGCTTGGAATATATATATATATATATATATATATATGGGGGCGGATCCATGGCACCATATTTTTGACACAAGTTTTAACACAATTTTTGGGCCATTAGATTACTCCACTTTTAATGGTTGAGATTAAATCTGACATGACAAATAGTTTTAATGTTTTAAATAAACAATCATTAATTTTATTTTCTCTCTCATAAAAATAAAATAAAATAAATTTCTCTCTCATCCCTTTTTTCTTGGATACGTAATCTCTTTTCTTGGTAGTATATTTTATACTTGGTATATACCTCTCTCTCTCTTTCCTGGGATCAGAAAAAAAACCTCTATCTTTTTTCCCAGGAATTTGAGTGGGGCAAGTCCTTTTTCAACCAAAGCCGGAAATTGTATGTAGCCCATCAAGCTGCATGCAGAAATAGTAAAGAAGAGTACAACAGGGATTCCAAGTTCTTCAGCTGCTACCAGGGGAACAACGTCATCCAACCATCCAACCTCCATCTTTCATGGGATCATAAGGTTGGTTTGCAGTCAACGGAGAGAGAGAGAGAGGGAAGAAAGATGGAGGTTTTTTTTTTCTAATCCCAAAAAAGAGAGAGAGAGAGAGAGGTATATACCAAGTAAAAAAGGATACTACCAAGAAAAGAGATTACGTTTTCAAGAAAAAAGGGAGGAGAGAGAAAATTATTTTGTAACACATCGACTTCAAATTTATTCCTATTTTAATTAAATTAAGAGAAATTATGAATTTACCTTTGGGTTAAGGGTAATTTTGGTCATTTTCTTATCTGGAAAGATTTTGGGACCACGAGTGATTTGGTTGCGTAGGTGGTACTGAGACGAATCCGTAGATATGCGGTAGGCTTGAATCAGAGTTGTAATGAAGTTTTGGTGAGCAAATTAAGTTCAGTGGCGCTACTGTAATTATTTCAAAGTAAATTTGAGTAAAAATCAGATATTTTCACTTTTACCTCACTCCCTCTCTCTTTCCCCGCGTACGCTCTCTCTCTCTCTCTCTCTCTCTCTCCTCACTCTCGACCCCGACCCTTTCTCTGTCTTCGATCTCCCAGCACCGGCCACGGCTGAGCGTGAGACCGGTCCCGTTCAACGCGTCGTGAAGTCCCGATCAAGACCCACCCAATTTCCTTGCCGGAAAACCCGAGAATCATCGACGGTATCAACTGGTTCGAACCGGAAGTTTCCGATCGTTGCGCCGCCGCCTCCACCGTCTGTTTCAGGTAATTGGTGAGGTTTCTTCTCCTTTTTACGTGTTCTAGCTGACTGTTGCTTAGGTTTGGATCGATTTTGAGTTTAGGAACGGATTTGAAGAGCTAGGTTTTGGCCGGTTTTCATTGTGAAATTTCGGCCACTTGCCGTCCGAATTTGACTTGGCCGTAGTTGAAAAAGATGCTCCATTCGTTGAGTAGTATATAGGATTGGAAGGGTGGCTTGTGCTTTGGAGATTTTCCGTCGCCGGAAATTTCTCTACACACCCACGCGCTGCCGGCGCGTGTGGCGGCGCATGGGCAAGGGTGGTGGAGCTGCGTTTTATCCTGATAAGATCCTTAGGTTGTCACGAGTGAGTAGGATTTTACGGATCTCAATTCGGACGTCGTTTGACTATCGAACGGATTTCGCATATTGTGCGTTATCCAGGTTCGATAGGTTCTAACCGTTAGATCGTTTCCAAATTGAAGTATGTTGATCTAGGTACTCTTAGAATCCTGTAGAAATTCACGGATCGTGAATCGAAGCCCAGGATGTTCTGATTCAATAATTCAAAATTTGTGAGATTAGCGATAACCATACGATTGGAAGCGATTCCCAAACCTGTAACCGGACCTTAGGAATTCCATTGGACATACACGCACCGGGAACTTGGGGGCTTAAGTATTTCTTTTTGTGAATTTCCATTTTGAAGTGCGTTATTTTAATCAAGGGTTCGTATCTCGAAATAGGTACTTCGGTTGATCATACGCAGCAGGCAGGACCCTCTCGGGGCCGGGCAGCTTGGGATTACCTATGAGTGGACTTTGTTTTCAAGCATTCGCATGGTTTTATTGATAAAAGATTTGTGCATATGTTTTTAAATGGTAAATGTGATTTAATAAGTATTTGGTTGATGAATTTGGATAATCTTATACGTATTGGCAATATATTTTGGGTATGGATATATTTGAGTATTATGAATATGATTATATGGATTTTGGGATGTCTATCTATATTGCCTATGTATAGAGTATTGAGAGTTGTTGTTGTGAGATTGTGGAAAGATATGAGTTTGAGGGATGGTTGTGAGATGTATGAGTATGTTAGGTGAGTACCATTCCCTAGTTACTAGGCTTCCCATACACGTCGTTGGCAGTGCCGGTGGGGTGGGAAGGCCATGAGATTGAGGGTCTCACACGTGTCGTTGGCAGTACCGGCGTGTGAGACATTTCCCATACGTGTCGTTGGCAGTGCCGGCGTATGGGAAGAGTATGTATATTGCTTAGTATTATCAGGTACATTAGTATGGAGAGAATTATATGTTATATTATAGTTATATATATATGTATGTATGAGTTGATGAGAGTTGCATATCTTTGGGAGTGGAGTTGTGGTTTTGAGATTTTGAGATTTATTGGACTATGGGATTATGTGTTTTGAGTATTTGGTTTATGAATTGTGAAATTGCATGCTAGAGCATTATTTTTACACGGTGGGGTTATTATGTTGATTTAAATACGAACTTTATTTTTGTCCACTCACATATTTCTGTTTTGCGCCCCCCAGACAGTAGTTGCTCTTGGAAGCGTTCGAGCAGAGTACGAGCTCAAATCGTTCCATCCGTAGATAGGACTTGTGTAAATTCCTTCTACTCAACTGTTTTTTGTAAACTAATTCTGTTAGATACTCTGTTATCGCCCATGTTAGGTTGTTACTTGAGGCCGGAGGCCACTTTACTTTGGATTGTTGTATGTTGAAAGCATGCTGGCAGTTGAGATTTATATTATGTAAATTATGCAGGTTGAATGTTGTTGAGTTTGAGCATTTTACAGGGGAGACTCTGCCAAAATTTTGGCATGATGTCTCGAGTTTTAGTAAGTGGGCCCGGCATCGGGGAGATGTCGGCACCAAGACGGGGTCCACCCCAGGTTTGGGGGAAATTCCGGGGAGGGTCTTGTCAATTTTATTTTATTTTTATGAGAGAGAAAATAAAATTAATGATTGTTTATTTAAAACATTAAAACTATTTGTCATGTCAGATTTAATCTCAACCATTAAAAGTGGAGTAATCTAATGGCCCAAAAATCGTGTCAAAACTTGTGTCAAAAATATGGTACCACGGATCCGCCCCTTATATATAACTATATTTATATATGAGTAACTTAGTACCACATAGAAAGAATTCGTTAAAACTTAGTATCACATATAATGAACAATATTAAAACTCAATAGTGAATAATAATACAACTCCATAATAAAATAATAAATAACATTAAACATATGCCTAAATTTATCATTAGGGATTTTTTTTTTTTAATGGAAATTTATCATAGATAATATTAGCTTGCAGAAATTTTTAAGACCATATAAATATTATACGTCGAAGCTTTATTAACAAACTCGTCTGCAGCACGTTGGATAAGGCTCAGTAGGAGGATTAGAGAGAGAGGGGATCGAGTCCCCGTGGGCGCAAAACCGCCATTTCTCAACAATTTTCATTTATTTTTCAGTTTATATATTGACAATATTTAGATGGATATGTGCTATAATCTCGCCCATTCAAAAAAAACATGTGAGATCTTTATTGGTCCTGTTTATTATCAACGACTACAACATATGGTTTCAGACAAGTTTCAGGTAAACAACTTTAACATTCCCTTCCACTCCTACAGATAAAAAGTCACATGAAATTTTAAAATTTTCTCAGTATAATTTTGCATGTATATTTCTCCAATTTCGTTTATTGGTTTCCTTACATGCCACTCCAAATTGGAATTAATGGTAGATTAGATCACCTGCCAGCCCATCAAAGGACGAAAGCGAGGTGGAGGTATACGTTTTGGTGAAATGGAACGAGACTCGTTGCTTGCGCATGGGGCAGCCTATCTATTGCATGATAGGCTTCATACATGTTCTGATTATCACATTGCTGCTGTATGTTCCACATGTGGAAGCATCCTAACACCCTCAGTCATCAAGCCAGAGAAACGGGTTGCACGTGCAGTTAAGGGACTGCCCCCTGTAAGAGCTCCCAAGGTCTTCCGTCATGCTTGTGATACGAATAAAGGGATGGAGACAGTTGCAAATGCCCTATGTCTTCAAATACTTAGCTGCTGAGTTAGCAGCTATGAGCATAAAAATGACCCTCCAGCTAAGTATTTGAAGCTTGATCCTGTTCCTAGAGGGAGGATCAGTGTAAAAATTATACACTAAGATGAATAGATCTTAAAGTTTTTTTAATTAGTTTTTTATTCTTTTCTTGGCTGGGTATCATTTCATGCAGAATTATCCACCAAGCACACAAATAATTAGTGAATTTCTTCATCTTTCTATTAAAAAAATTGGTATACTTCACAAAGAGCTTTGTCAAAGTATTCCCATAAAAGAGTAATGCAGCGTGAAATTGAATACATAATGACATGAGCTGTGTATACATAAGCTTCTAACCTAATTCATATCAGAAGACGACCCATGAAGTTATAATTGGTGTGGGATGGCTCCGAATCACAACTTCTGATCAGGCATTATTACCATTATCAAGACTCATTCTTCAAGATGATTGATCAATATGTCTTCTTTTGGAATTGTACATAGATTCATCTTCACTTGCACTTCTATTTGACATCCTTTCCATTTGCCGTCTTTTGGATCGATTTTTTACTTCCTCTTCCTTCTCATCAACAAATGAAATAAAGGTTTGAAGACGTGCAGACGTCGAGCTGCCGGCAGAAATCACTTCCTCAGTGTAGTGCTTGCTGAACTGGCGCAGCATATTGATGAAATATATAATCAGAGCAAGAAAACAAGCTGAACCACAAAGAACAAAGAGGCCCCAGAAGCTTTTAAGTTGAAGCCTGTCAACTTCTAGCTTTGCGCCTTGTGAGGCACAACTACTGCTTATAAGCCATTTATCATGGATCCTTTGTAGATCCCCATTCTCTGACAGCTTCAAAATAGCAGTAGACATGTCCACTGATAAAGGTGAGTCCCTTGCAAAAGCCTGATTTGAAATGAACATGATAACTATGAGAATCCAGAACATAATATTTGGGCAACCAGTTCTGCTTATATAACACTTCAGCAATATTAAGGTTGTTCTATCAAAATGTCTTGAAGGGTCTGATTTGGTAATATAACATGTCAGGTTATCTGATAAAAGAGTATTACCATGGTCATAGATATAATAGATAAAAGAGAAACTTACAAATCCCCAACCGGTTTTGGTGAATTCTTGACCTACAATACTGAAATCACATCTGCTTGAGAGGAATAGCTCAATGTATGCACGCTCATCAATCACTGCAGCAACACCACCTCTTTGGGGACCGTCTTTCAAGGCTTTAGCATAATCGTTTGGCATGATAAGGGGAACGAGTCTGGACTCATCAACGTTGAGTTTGTCAGTTAGATAACCCCTGGAAAATGAACCTTGCTGGTAGCCAATGGGGTCATTGCTTGCAAGCAAAAGTATCAAGGCCTTTGACGGAGGAAGAAAGCTGTTGCACTGTAAGGATTGAGGTCAAACTTGCAGTGTAGCTTGAATTGATTATAAGAACGACAAACAGCCATATAATTAGTACTAAGCGACCCAGGGTGCTGACTGTATTTTCTCCTGCATAAGATCCCAACAAAAAAAAAGAAGAAAAAGAAAAGAAAAGTAAATAAGCATTACTGAAGCAGCTATTAACCCATGGTTGCTGGAAAAGCTACTAAATTAGTGCGAATTTACTTACTATGGGCAAAGAACCAAGTTGAAAAGCTAAACCTGCAGAAGGAAAGCACAAATTTTAAGTGATTGTGGGATTTATACCAAGAAGATGCCAATCCTAGTATGGTGAAACTCCACAAATAGACATTATGAGAAAGTAACACCAATTGACAGACACTATCTCAATGTCTTGAACAAAGTAGAGAATTATAAAGTTTCCAACATAGAATGAGATAACATGAGATACTTCTTATTACTCACCACAGAATAGTGACAATTTGTTTTTTAGGAGGCCCCCGAAAATCATCGTTCAACCTATGCTCTAAAATCCAAACAACTGTTCCAACAATGAGAAAGAAGGCAGCCGTGACGCCCCACATCATTGGATTGAATGGCCTCAGAAAAGCCCAAGGATTAGAATTCAACGTTGTCCTAACAGGTGCAACAACTACTAGCCCAGATTCAATAAATGGCTGTGTAAAATCTGCCATCCTTGTTCGGTTGGTGATGATTGCAATGTCACCTATTGCTCCATCAAATTCCTATAGGGAAGAAGCAAATGGAAAATCAGAAAAAATATTTACCTTCTTAAGTTTAAAGAAATGCTCTGTATATGATACTCACACCCGTTTGGATTTTGTGCACAAGTTCAGTGCTTGTTGGGTTCTTAACGCCATCACCAAAAGGAATAAACTTGTATGGAACAGCATAGGGCAACATGTTCAATGCAGCAGTAAAAACATCGATGCAGTACCCAGTGAACATGTCATTGCCTTCTGCGTATGAAACAAATTCACGAAAACTAACGCGTTTTGGGACTCCAATGTTCAAGTGCCTTCCATTGTTTGGAAATACCCAACCACGAGGCTTCTGTGTTGTTTGTCCAGGCCAAATTACGCCGTACAGGCTTTCATTTGAACTAGAAGGGTTTGGTGGCTTTGTGTATTCTGGAGGCACAACTGATAAACC